TAAACTCCCCCCTATGGATAGGTCTGACGATTTTGTGTCCGATCACTGCCCTGATTAATATAAGGTCACCCAGGGTTAATACCTTGCTACAATTGTATTAAATTCTACTATATTTTCGTAATTAAAAACTTAGTACTTACCATTTTTCATTTAGGACATTATAATAAATTTCGAAAAAAAATTACTTTCCTAAAATTTTTAATTCAAATTCCACTTTTAATTTTATTTAGGAATTACAAAACAAATTACATTTATTGCCCTAAACACAATAAGACAGCACTTCTGCCTTATAGCTTCTAGGTTAAATTCCATTAAATGGAATCGCACACAGAAGCTAACATTTTTGGAGTTTTGAAGTGCGGCCCTATTGTGTTTAGGTCATCCAGATAAATATTATTTTGTGTGTAATTTTAAATATGTTTTTTATGCATTTTTCAATTAAAAACGAAGATATGTTATAAATTTTTTTAATTTACTAAATTTTTTTTTTCAAATGAAACATTTTTTTACATTTCATGAACTGCTGCAATCAAGTCGAGTTGGATATAATTCGTAAGTTTCAATTACAAGTTTCAATTTATTTCTTATTGACTGAAACCACACGATTCTTCTTTCTTCACCAAAATTTTTATTTTTGAATCTGCTTTATTTTCACATTGTTCATCAAAAATTTGATTATTTTTGTATGTATGCATGTATGTTTGAAATAAAATTTTGATGAAAGAAGTACACCCAATTCTTTTTTTACACGGTAGATATGTTCCAACGAAAACCGTTTAAACAAAAAAATGTGTAAAAAAAGACATGCTAAATAATATAAAAATACGGGCAAAACCTGTGTAAGATCAAAAAAAGAGTTTTCGGTTGCCCTAAAAACCATGCAAAAAAGTATAATATTAAAAACCAACAACAATTATAATGAAAAAAAAAACATATACATATTTAATGTACAATATTAATATTAAAAACAAAATACAGTTCAGGTATGTTATGATTTACGCAATAATATTTCCTTTTTGTTGTAAGCAGTGGTCGAAGTGGGATACTCAAAGTGGTGGGATGGTAAAAAAAAAAATAAAAAACAAAAAAAAAAAGTATTATTTTAGTTATTTTACAAATACTAAAGCAAAATTTACCAAACTTTGGAAGTAAACTAACGAGAATATTTATATTCAAAATTAAATCAACTAAAAATTGAATCAAAAAGTGTGCAAATTGTAACCAAAGAAATGCATAGACTACTATGAAGTAACGAAAATTTCATTAATAGAAAAAAATTATACGTTACTATTTGAAATTGGTCTTATTTAAAATTACATATGTATGTATATTTAATTTTTTGTTAAAAAAATTTTTAAAATTCATTAGAAAAATTTCTTAAATTTTAAAAAACATGTTCCGGAACGCAATTTTCTCTCCTATTGAGTAGTAGGATGGATTTCCAATTATTTAAAAGTACTGGGATGGCATCTCACTCCATCCCGCCTCACTTCGAGCACTGGTTGTAAGTAAATCCAAACAGAAATTATATTGGTACTAAATCTTATAAAAAACAAATATTGTTTTCTTGAAAAACAGACAAATATAAAATGCGACTAAAAAAATTCTGGGAATTTCCTCAGTTAAATTTTTTTTTTGCAACTGGGTGTACAAAAAATTTTTTGAACATCGTGTTAGAATAAATAATTCGTGTAAAAAAACATATTTTTTGCTTTTTGTGAACCGTGTTATTTCAAAATCGTGTAAAAAAAGATAGTTGAGTGTATATAGAATAAGGGCTCCATTATTGAAATGTATGCATGGTTTTTTTTTCTTTTTTCTGTAATAATTAGTATCAGCGTGCTTTTTTCCAACTGTCAATTTTTTGATTTTTTCCTACATTAGTTTATATAGGTAAAGAATTTAACTTTTGTAATGTACAAAAATTGTATTATGAATGATACATTACTGATTTTTAAGTTTTTTACCTGATTTCAGAAATTTTACTTCTCTTTAGTACATATTCTAAAGAAATTTTTTCTATTTGATATATTGTGTTTTAAAAATATAATTTCTATTTTTAATCATTTCTTGTATTATCATAACAAAAAAACACTATTACAAAGTCATTACCAATAATTATTCATATAAACAATATTTTTGTGTTATTTAAATTATTTTTTGGTTTGAAAAAAGTTATTGCAAAAGCAAGTCTTTTTTGTTTGCTTAATATGTATTTTTTTTATTTTTATTTTCGTATATTATAAGAGAAATGAGCAATTAAAGGAATTTAATTGCAACGTTTTAAGTTTAATCAATTACCTACTAATGTTAAAATTTTCACAATTTAAATAAGTTAGTAATTTAATTTTAGGGGAAATTAAATAATTTTGTGAAATTAAATGAAAATAATGTGATAAAATTTATAGTTTTCTCATCAAAAATTACTAGTATTAAGAAAAATGGACAACGTTTTAAGCTCTTAACTGAAATTTCTAACTAAAATCTTAAAAACAATTTTTTGCATAATTATAGGTGATCTTTATTAATTAAAAATTTTGCTTTTGCAGACTTATTGGTTAAATGATATTAGTTATGTGTATATACAAAAAAGTAACCAATAATAGCAAATTATTATTACTATGCTTTGATTTTTTTCAAACTTGAAATGTTTTTGCTGCATATATAAACAAAATTTTTAGCAGTGCTTTAGAACTTAAGACACTTCAAAATGTACTTTTTTTATCAAACATTCTATTTTTGCTGATTTAAAATACTTTTACTTTTACTTTGGTTTTTTTTTTCGTAATTTAACTCAGTAAGTAGTCAGTATTCGCGTTGGGAGATTTTAAAAGCTGAAAAATAAGTGCAGTTTCTAAAAGAAAAGTGCATAATTTTACTTATGCAATAACTTTGTGAAATTAAGCCGAGCTAAATAAAATATTAATATTTTTTTTATTTTAATTGTTTGCAAGAAAAAATAATGCAATTATTTTTAGAAAAACTTTCATTTTCAAAAAATTATCAAATATTATCACCCACTTTTTGTAAGACGTATGACAGGACGGATAGGATATTCTTTAAAAGTTTTGTTGTGCTCAGTGTAGAATGTCAAATTTTTTTTTGAAAAAAATTTATTTTGATTTATTTAAAAAATCTGACTTTGCTCTGAAAACTTAAAAATGTTTGAAAAACATTCTATATCGTAAAATAACTTACAATTTACTTTGCGTTTTCATATTTATAAAAGGTACAAACTTTAGTTTTGGAAAGTCAGCGAGCCAGCGTCAGGTACATATTTAAATTAAATCAAAATTCAAATCAGAAATGTTAAATCAAAATTTGAGACTCGCTGTTTTTGTTCAAAACTCATAAGTCATAATCATAATATAAATGGTGTATGCAATGCAGTATTAAAGCGAAATATAATGCGTCGTTTATGTTGCTATATTCTTCTGAAAACTTATTTGTAAGAATCAGTTTTGCAATATTTTTAGGTGAATGTACTAGTATAAATTTTTTTTTGAAATTTAAAAAAAATTGCAAAATTAAAAAAAAAAAAGTACAAAAAAAAAGGTGCACAAAGTCTTAAAAAGTGCAAATTTTGCACAAAATTGTCAAAACGGAACATTGTAAGTAGTAAGTACCTTTTTAAATGGCAATGAGGAAGGTCTGTAACCATTGGACTTCTATAAATTTATGGAAATATATTTTTAATAAAATTTATTTTGAATGAAAACTTCCTATTTTCGGGATTTTTTTGCAAATATCAAAATAAAATTCCAAAATTTATTTATATAAATATCATTTGAGGTATGTTTAAACGTAAATGACTTAAAACGCAAAGGACGGAGAAAATTTTTCCCTTCGTATAAACTGGAAGTTAAATTCCATTAAAGGAAAACGAGAGTTGTTTTCTCTACGCGGTGGAGGTGAATAGATTCAAAAATAATAGAATTTCAAGGGAGTAGAAGTGAGAAAAATTTATTATAAGTTAATTTTGCTTAAAAATTGTAAAATTGGTAATTTAACCGTTTTTTTTTAATCAGATCATACAAGATCTATATGAACTTTTTCATATAGTCATCAAGTTTTTGTGTAACTAGAAACATTTGTATATACATGAGTGCATATTTTTAATATAATATAGTGATGCTAATTTTCGGATAATCTGTAATTTTTTAGTGTCATCAATCATGTTAATTGTTTGATTCATTATGTTGACCTTGACCTTAGATTATCTTTACAAAGGTAAAGAAAAACATCGAGGACTATATTTTTTGAACCTATTTTGTCAGTATTTTTGATTTTAATGGTTGTTTAAGAAACTTGTTTTGGAATGGTAGAATACCTAGTTTATTTTTTTTAATTATACATTTTTTTCTTGTCTTCTTATTTTCTGATACGCCTCGTATAATGTCATAATCAAAACCTTGACATTACAAAAACCCAATGAAAATATTTCCTAACAAAACTAAAATCAAACACATACCTAAAAATAATTCACATATGCAATAATTTTTATGAATTATGAAGCATATGAATTTAATTAATATGTGTATACTATCACATGAAAAATATATAGATATATATGTGTAGACATATCATACAAAATTAGCAAACTCGTTAATATCAAATGTATCTTTTCTCAAATTGGAAAAAAATACACCAAAACCAACTAAATACTTTGAAAAAAAAATCTTTTTTTCTCGTAGTAGTATAGCATTTATTGAAATCTTAAAAAAACGAACAGAGCCTGGAAAGTTTTTTTTAAATCAATTTTTTAATGTTTTAAAAACACAAAACTTTAAAAATGTAAGCACTAGTAAAGTAGAAAAAGAAGGAGCTTCTATAGATCCCATAAGAATATGTGTAAATTCGTCAGCATTTAACTGCCACTCTCTCCTAGGGTCTAAGCCTTTATTTTTGTCAGCCGTGATCAAAACATAAAAGAGTTAATTGTAATAATAACGCAATTTTGAAACCACTGTAATAGTTTTCTTTATTGTATTCCTTACATTATGAAAATTTTTTAGATTCTATATTATTATTTACATCATATACAAAATTATAAAAATTAAACTATACTCGCAAACAAAATTCTTTGATGTTTTTACAATATTACACATAAAAAGGTATGTATGTATGTATGTACATATGTATGTAAAAAGTTTGATCAATAAATACTACTAAAAATTTGCAATACTAAAAAAACTCGCATCATTCCTTAATTTTATAGTGTGTGAATTTAATTGGTATATTATATAAATACAAATGTAATTTTTTAACGATACCTCTTATTATTTGACATATTATGTAAGTCCTTTTCAAAATTTAATTCCTCTTTTTAGTTAAATATTGTACATATCTGCAATAATTATTTTCAATTTGAGGTTGTTGTCTTTTTGTTTTTTTTAGTATTTTAAAATATATTTGCACATCGCATAAATACAAGAAAGTTAAATAAACAACAGCACTAATTTTCCAGAAAATAAAAAACTCGTCGATATGAAAACCAAAATTAATTTAGATTTTCACACAAACTCTACAGAGTAAATTAAGCTAAAATTTAAATAAACCAATGCAACATAAGTTTTATCATTCTTTGTCGTTTGAAGGCAAATCGTGACGGCGATGAGGTTGTGGCAGTTGATGTAAATATGTCACACCACTCTCTTGAGTATTATAAATATTAGTTTCAGAAGTTTGTTGCTGGTGTCCCTGTTCTTGTGAAATTTTTTGATCAGGGGAATGTTTTCGCTCCTGCTCATATTTGTATTCTGGATGAGTTTTAATATACTCTTCATACGGTACGGGTACTGGAATGGGTACGGCTTGCACGGGATAGCCAGCATCTACAAGAGCTTGAAATTCTTCTTGTGTTATGGGCTTACCATCTGGGGGCGGTAGTTTCAATTGAGTTTTTTTTTCGAGTTTGTAATCTTTTTGTGAATTTAAGTGTGTTTGTTTTATTGGTCTTGTTGTTGGTTCTATTCCTGTTCCTTGTGAAACGTAAATAGTTGAAACTGATGTAGGTGATATTGGGGTGACTCCTTCTTCATTATGTTCTCTACTAGGATTTTTGTGCTGAGATTGTGGTTCGGGTTTCTGATATTGTAACGCAGGAGCGTCAATCAGTTTCATAACATTTTCTTTTTTGCTGCCTAATACTGGATTATGCACAACTGGGACAAATTGATTATGTGACTTTACTTTTAGAGGATTTGTTGTGAAATATTGTATATTAGTGGACTGTGGTTTTGCATTTAACAGCTGAGATCCACTATTTAATGAGGGACTAGCAGCTAAACCAGAATTGTGGTTTGTTGCTCTTCCTTTAGTTTGTTTAGGTGGTATCTGAGTTTCTATCAAATATTGTCCATGATTATAGTTTACTTTCGGTAGATACTGTCTTCCTGATTGTATTTTTTCTGCTTGTGGTTTTGGCAATTTTGCTTGGTGACCAAAGCCGCTAAATTGAGCTAAACTTGGAAGAAAAGAATATTCTTTTTCAGATCCGGCTTGTGTTTTCGTATGTTGCTTTGTTACTGTTTTATATGTATGTGGTGAAGGTTGTAATATGGCATATTGCATTTGACCGTCCGTTTGCGTGTTGTGTTTGTTAACAGTATAAAGTTTTTCTTTTTCGTATGTAAAACTCGGTTGCTGTGATATTTGCGCATTTTGAGGTTTTGTTTGATACGATATAGGAGCGGCTTGTTGTTGAATAAAATACTGTGGTGGTGGTGGAGTTTCAATTAATTGCTGTGGAATCGGAATCGTTTGCATTTGGTGATTTTGGACCAGCTGTTGTTCTTGACGTTGTGGGATATATACATACTGTACATTTTCTGGAGTTGGAACAGCTTGTTTGTAGTTGCCAAGACCAATACTTTTCATTTTTACATCAGGTTTTTGAGAAGTAACTTGATGCGTTGTATGTACTTGCGCTTGCTGTTGAATTTCCGAAGATTGAAGTTGTTGTGGTCGTTTTTGTGCTAATATAGGTTGCTGAGCATTTTGTATAGATTGAGATGTCGCTGTTATGCCTTTACTTGCCAATTCTTCTTCTAAAAATTTTAAAAGCTGATCTTCTTGAACTATAGGATATGGATGGGGAGAATATTGTGGAATTTCTTGTTGTGTTTGAGCAACATGTCCTTGCAAAAACTGCTGAGGTTGAATTAGCTGTTGTGCTTGTGGAATGTATTGAGCTAACCTTGGTTGATACGCTTTTTTTAATAATGGTTTGAATTGCTCTGATAAGGGACGATATTGCTGAAAACGATGGGTCGGTTGTTGAACTTCATGATAAAATCCATAATGTTGCGGTAATGCGTCCTATTGACAAAATTAAATGTTAATTGTAAAACTTCAAAGTGATATATACAATGATAAATATGCAAGAAAATGAATTGTTCTGTTTTGATATTGTTAATTATCAACAAATTTTCCATTTGTTAAGAATTTAATCTTTTTACTCTATTCATTCCATTACAATTTTAGAGAAACCTAAATAAACTATTTTTGATGAAATATTGATCTAGTCTTTTTGCCGAAAATTGTCACAGTTTCGGCAATTAGATTATTAAACCAGTTTGTAAAAAAATTATAACAGAGTTAAGTTTACAGATGTTATAAATTGATCAACTTATGCAGTTAATAAACATTACGAGTAATAATTAACATACTTTTTCAAATTGAAACTTTCTCGGCTTTGCATAGTTAGCTTTAAAATGGCAAAATAAAAATATATAACGCATATTTAAATATTTATAAAATATATTATATTATTATATATTTAAAAATTTATCTTATTTCTTACCTCTAATGAAAGTGAGTCTGCCTGATTTATATTTGCTTGTTGAATTTGTTGTTCTCTTGATTGCGTCTGTGGTTGTATATTATTAATAAATCCACTATTTGTATGAATCCTACGGCTCCCTATCCTGTTATTATAATCGATAGCACGAATTACAAATTGATTTGGTGATTTAAAAATTGAATCTATTTGATCTTGTGAATTAATCGATGTTTCATGATCAACTTGGCGTTTATCAACAGTTTCCTTTACTACCTTTTTATTTGATATTTCTGAATTACCTGATGGTTCTCGCGCCGATTCTGCAGTTTTATTTGATTTCAAGTCCTTTAATTTTTCAATTTTTGGTTTTTCGGCTGCCGTTGAGTTTTGTTCAAATATAAAAGCACCTGCAAGAGGAATATGATCGTAATTTAATATGATTGGAATTTGATATTTTTAAAAATAAATGAGTCTTGGCAAATTGCTCTCTTATAGACAGAGTTCAAAATTACAAAAGTTCGTTTGATTACAGCTGTAAGCTCTGACCGTCTTCACAAAATTGAATTTTTTAGTTTTGGCTAGTTTGATTCAAAAGTTTTGGCTTCATAGAAAAAATTTACAGTTTAATTGGTATATAATATACAGTTAATTGGTTTATAAATACCCTTTTGTCTTTGATTAGACTTATGCTTTTACGCTTATTTTTCTAAAAGAATTTCCTGCTATGTTCGTTTAATGTTTTAAGAAATTTTTAAAAAAAGAAATTTGATTTTAATGAATACAAAATTAAGTAAGCCTATATCTCACTATTCAAGAATTCATCTAAGGTAGTTCAATATTTTTATATCAGTTTTCTGTATTATACTTACATATCTATATGATGAATACAACGTACATATGTACTCGTATAAAAAAAACGCTAAATAAAAAAAATTAATTGTTGAAAATTAAAAGTGCAATTTTCATTTCATTCACTTTTTGATATTTTCCATTTTAATACTCTTTTGTTTTTTATCGTAATATTTAAAAAGAAAAGTGAAAACTTTGTGCCAGGTAATAGTGAAAATTAAAGCAGAAAGTTAATATATGTACATATATATGTAGTTTGAATTTATGAACGCAAACATGATTATAAACTTACAAGCATACGCTTTTCGAACGTGTATGGATAAAATAAGTATATTCATTTAAATTATAACAATATAAAAGTTAAGAAATGTGAAGGTTATCAAATCATATGCCAATCACCTTTTATTTTTAATGTTTTCTTTTATTACAATGTTAGTAATAATGTTTAGATGTAAGACTTTGATTTAATGAGTACTTTGATTTATTTATGTATTTTCTTTTTTTTTGAAACAGATAACGTACATATCCGAATTTATATGACAAAACAATATGTACATGTTTATAAATACTTTGACCATACCGTTGTAAATTTTTATTGAGCTCTTTTTCTTTTTTTACTGAAATATTTTTGCTCAAAAAAAGTGCATAAGCCATTACTTTAGTTGACGTTTGCTATCCAAGATTAACTTAGTTTATTGAAAATTAAAACAAAAAAAATATTTAAAATATTTTCAAAAGCTTGTTGTCCTTTATTTATACGGAACCTCTCTTTTGGTATATGCACTTAATAAAATTATTATATATAAATAAATTTATTGATTCTTCGATTTGAACGTAATATTCAATTCTTATGCTAATAATAAATGGCGTATTTAGGTAATATATATGTAAAGTAAATTCTTAATTTAAACGCAATTTGAGATTTTGATAAACGGAGTTTTATTTGGAGACTATTTTATAAAATATGAATGTGGTGCTAAAAAAATGCTTCTACCACTAGGTCTTACAAAAAAAATTTCTAAAAATTAAGTGTTCGAATTCCTGGAGTTTGAACTCAGTAATATAAGTTAATTATTCACATGTATAAAATAAATTCTATATATGTAGGTATAAAATAAAATAAAACGAAATATCTATGCATATTTTTTTAAATTTTGCAAACTTTTTCATTTAATGAAAAACTTAAATTTCAACAATGATTGAGTTAAAGAGCTTATTGACGATATGATAGTGGTATAAAAAATTTTAATATCAAAATTGACAGATGAGCATACGATTTACTTACATTATTTACGAATTCATTTCAATTGCGATTGATTTTAATTTTAATACTAAGTATAAATTTGTAATAAATATAAACTTTAATAAACGCAGTTGTACTTCCGGTTTAAGCAACTAATCTTTTATTAAAACAATAATCGAAATAACTACGGTTCTGATAACTTTTCATATTTGTTTTGAATTTTCTATAAGAGTACGTCTTATGAAGTACGCTTATTTTAACAATACTCAAAAAAATTCATATTCTTGTCAATATTTTTTTTTGGAAATGATTTTTTTGAACTCTATTTTTATCCCAATTTGGAAAAATGTTTTTATTCATTTCGTAATATTTCAATCATTAAGTTCATCAAGGATTAAATTAGCTGTTTAGCTTTTTTTCAAAGATCAAGAATCGTTCATCGCTTTTAACGATAAGCTTTACTGGTAAAGCCATTTTCATGATTTTATGTCAAAATAAAATTTTATTTTATCAGAAAATTTTTTTCAGAAAGAAGAAAAACGTAAATTTAAATATTTTTCACTTTGCGAAAATGAAAATTAAAATATTTAGTGAAAATAAATAACTTCAATCGATTTTTTTTTTTTTCAATTATTTCACAAGAGTCTTCAGATTAACCAAATTTTTCTGTTTACAATTTTTTCACTTTAATAATTTGTAAATTTTTTTAATTAATTTGTTCTTAATCAAAATTCTTTTGTTTTAACAAAATATTATTAAATTAAATCATCAATGTGTCTTTGAATTTCGTTATCATTAACACTGAGCTTGTTGACACATTTGCTTATCAAGAGCAAATAATTATATAAGAAAGTATTTTTGTTTACATAACCCTAACGCAAGCACTTACTAATATTTGTATACAAAAAATTTCCCTTAGCCAAAAGAGTTAAGCAGAATACCTTCTTATTTTCATTTCTATACACATAACAATTTTTGGAAGAAGAAAAGAGTACGCAATAGACGTTTACCTGTTTTATAATGTATTTTTAAAAGCGGGAGTAATTTATTTTTCCGTATAAAAAGTATAGAAAAAATTTTAAGAATTTTAAAAGCGGGAGTTTCATTTCTCTAAATTATTGCACTACAAGTTGGCAGAAATGGTGTATCCATTTTATAAAAGCGAAGCGATTTGAAAACAAAATTTGACTATTAAAATAAAAAAAAATTATAATTGCTTTGTATATAATTTGAAAAAGACAAATAATATTAAAAAAATGTAAAATTTGTAATAAGTAATTGTCATTACATTTATTGTTATAAATATAAACTATGTATGAATTTTTTATTTTTATTTCAATTTTGTCTTTAAAAAATTAAAACAAATATTTCTCATGAATATACATACATACACATGTGTCGGTAATACGCCATATAAACGGGATACATGCATATTACTTACATTATATTGTGTATCTACCTTGATAGGTATGTACTGTATAACAAAGTATGAAATTTTGAATTTATAACTATTGCTTTCATACATATAAATGTTTTTACCTAACTTTTTTTAAAAGAAAAATAAAATATAAAAAATAAATTTTGTTATTATCAAAATAAAAATAAAATTTTTACCTAAGTTAATTTAATTTTATTTCAGTTAGATGTTTTTGATACACTCGTTTGTTTACAATATTTTGTTTCTTTCTTACCTACACAATTCTTATTACCATCTATTTCTAAATAAAAATGGAATATTTTAAGATTTTCGAAGTGGCAAGCAAACGAAAAATAATGGAATGGACCGATTCGAACTATTTCTTGATAGATATACTTTGATTAGAATTTTCCGTTTTTCTGATGGATATTTTTCTAATACTCGTAGGATAACTCATATTAATGTCTTAATAATATCTTTATTTCAAACAAGCCCCAATCAGTATTGTTAATTTCATCTTTTTTTCAGTAGAATTTTGTCTCAAAAAAAGTAGTATGGAGCTTTAGCGTAGGAATTTCCGGTTATCATTAACACCAAATTAAAAGTTAGGTATCTGACGTCTAAAGGAGGCGTAGCAGGAAGCACTTATGCAAAAATTGTTTTATACCCGTACATTTTAAATCAGGTTACCTAAATCAGCTACGCGTCTGCAACGTATTGAAATTTTTGACTTTGACAACGGTAGGTTCATTTTTTTAATTTTTTTTTTGATTATCAAATTGAACTGATGCTGTCAATTTACATATTATTATGTAAATTGACATATAAAAATTAACAGTATAAAATTTTTTTTATAAAATAATTTTGAAATTTACAAAAACGAAAAATTTAATTTTGTTTGTTGTACAAATGGTTTTTGTAAAAAATACGAATGAACTTTTTATTAACAGAAACAAATAATCACATTTTCTAGTATAAAGGCAAAAAGTAGTAAAAATGGCTTGGCAGTAGTGTAGTAGTACGGGATGCCAAAACACTGATTGGGTTGTCAGATCCATAACAATATAAGTGCAAATATGTGTATATTTTTGTCTAAAAATCTTCTGCAGTTGTTTGGACTTATATTACTTATGTTTTTAGTTGTTTTATTTAACTAAAAATTACTGGATACGTTGTTTAAGCGTATTATACATATTATATGTGTGTAAAACTAAGCCTAATGCAGATAAAAATTGATTTACATATTACTGCAAAATAATTTATAATAATGTTTTGGAACAATTTAAATTTTTGAACTACATATTAACTACATATGTTAGATGTACACGTGTTTGATCACATTTTATTATGTTTCTCTCTCACGAAAGGAGTCGCAATGGAACAGACGATCTGTTTTTATAAAAAAACAAATTTAAACACGATGAAACTTTTACACAAAGAAAAACTTCTTCTATCTTTTAATTTTATTTTCACATTTTTTTATAATACGAGAATCACTTATTAATTTGTGCCATCTTTTATTGTAATAAAAGCAATAAAAAAATGTTTCGTAGATATAGTAAAAAATGTAAAATCGGCCCGCAAATCAGTTTTCGAGCCCTGACCTTTCCAAAAAATTTATATGTTCATTGTGTTAATACGAGGAATTCAATTATTAAATTTCAATGAAATCGGTTGATTATTTCTCTTTATATACGCAAAAGTGTATATTTGGCCCGTAGTACACGTGCACTTGCTGATGCTTGATTTCTTCCAAAAGTTAGGAGATTTCGCGGACGGTCGAGCGAAGCTTATATATGAAATTTGAAGTAAATCGGTCGAATATTTTCTTCAAAATGGTCAAAAATGCCCGCTAAAAAGTGCAGTTCCCGAGGCCTGATATATCCCAAAAGTTGATC